TATATATATATATATATATATATATATATATATATATATATATATATTTAAGAATAAGCAAATAAGAAATTATGCATATTAATTTTTTAACGATAGAGAAACACGATTGGGAGGTTTTTGTTCTATGCTTTGTAGCTGGAAAAATGTTTTGTAACACACAATGTTAATAATTTTCACGCGAGCTGGTCAAGTAACGTGGTTTGACTCTTAGAAAGAAGAAATTCAACATGTTCGATGAAATACCGAGACACGTTTGTTCATCACAACGTCCACGAATTTTAATCAATATTCTAGGTATTATGTGTACAATTGGAAATCTGCTATATTATCTGGTTTTTAATCCAACAGTTCTATTGCCCTATCATATAGCGCTTAAAGTAATCAAATAATTTAACAATATCTCTTAATTACAATTTTATTAAATTACGTTTATACATTTTAAGTTAATCATGTTATATGAATTGTCTATATTTATTATATTGTTTAATATATACAATTTAATCTTTTCACTGCAATATGAAACATTAGTTCCTTGATCACTTTGAGCGCCATATACTTACAATTATATATAATTAATGTACACATACCTTTATTATCTTTATTATCTCCTTTATGTCTTAGATATTTACTGAACATCCTCTTCCCTCCTCACCCTCTCACTCATCATACTTCATCCACACGGAAATGTTCGTTCTAAAGTTTTCCCGAGTTCAAGTACGAATCATTAAAACGTTCACACATACTCGCATACACACGCGTGACACGTATATACCAATCGATGATAAATTAAAAGACTTTGAAAGACCATCCGTTCGATACGACGGTCCCTCTTAGACTAATCAAAATTATCGTCGATTCACACGAAGTGTTCCAATGTTATACGTATTTCTCAGAATTCTCGAATAGCTGCGTTCGTTAATCCACGACACGCGAGTTCCAACGTAAACAACAATAATAACGCGGAGAGACTGGAACTAGGAGTTTGCCCGGCGCAGAGGAGACCAGGGAAAAGGATAAATCGACGGAAACGACCTCGGACCAACCTTAAACAGGAATTCAACAATTAGGAAATAAAAAGATAAAGATTTAAAAAAGAAAGAGAAATTAAATATGCACATCAATTGCGATGCAAAGAGAACATCCATTCAAATTCAAAAAACAAGGTTTACAAATTTAAAATGATCATTTTTTTACGTTAGGATTATTGAAAAACATAAAAATTAATTACACGTTAATAAATGCTAATATTCTTTCTGTCTCGCAGATGTAAAAAGGAGTTGATCACACATCTAATGCGTGCAATATATAAAATCTGTACCAAGAAAATTGTAGAAAATAAAATATATTTTCTTATAAATATAATTCCTTATATTTATCGTTGTATCGTACATATCTCATTCTCGTAAAAATTGGTATAGAATCCTGGCAGACACAGTGCCAGGAGATTAGCAACGTTCTCTATTTACAAAACTGATCTCTATATAAAATAACAATGTGTAAATTTGTATATTGGACACAAAATTACACTTTGTATTCTATTATGTACACAATTAAATATTAATTTTTTTAACAATTCACATCAATTTGTAAAAGAGAGAGATGTATAAAAATTTTCCCCTGTAAAATGCATTCTATCTTTCATTTCTTACTACTGAAGAAATATCATAACCTATCTCTTCTTTCACACATTGATAAGGTAAAGTCTTATAAGTCTTATCGTTTATTCGATTACCGCACAGACGTAATTTGATTATAAATAATATCGTCCAAATTCGCTTTTGTAACGAGAGTAAATAATACTTTGCTTACGTCAATTTATCCTAATTCAGTTTAACTATATTTTTAATAGCACTAGGTTAATTTTCTCAGTCGTTTACAACCGTAATAACTAGTTTATGTTCGGGCCAGGAAAATGTCTTCGGCAATTGAATCTGTAATATATACATTGAAAATATATTATTATAAAAAGTTATAAAAATTATTAAATCATTTTACGGAACTATTAATTACCTGACTTGGTGAATTTAAAACTTGAAACTCTTGAGCCATCCTTTCAGTCAAATCTTCTGGAAGCAAAACTTGCAACCATGGTCCCTGAACTACATACGGTTTTTCCCTAGACACTAGAGTACCAGTGACTGAGGGAGCAACTATTGTTATTGCTGTATGAGACAATATTGATTTAAATGTAAAATGCCTTCCGTGCATGACACGGCCCCTGCAAGAACATATTTATGATTAAAATTCATCTAATAATAAATACATAAAATTAATTGTATAATGCGATAAGAATATTTACTTTATTGCTAATGGTAACAAAGATCCAGCTTCGAGATTAAATGTCAAATGAAGACCTGGCAAAACCCTGACAAAATTTTCGTTTGGTACATTTGTATCTTGCTCACAAGGGGACAATCTTTCTGACTTTATAACTGGCTTTATATCTTCGTCTTCTTCATCCGATTCATTTCTTATCTCTCTATATTTTTCTGTACTTTTGTCACTGTTCACTTGAACCCACCTATATATAAAATATCGGTTAGCACATTTGACATAATCTTTGACAGACAAATACAAGACACTTGCCAACATTTTGCAGATACACCACTTAAATTAGAACCCTCCTTTTCTATACCAGTCTCTATTTTCTCTGCTATGGAGGGATCATCTTCCATAACAGAGTAGATCCTTCTCATATCTGTTACCAACCATGGCCCACAACCACGACTAGACTTTAGTAAATTTACAAGACCTAAACCATTCCAGTGTTGTGCAGCTTGTAGCTCTTCAGAAGTAACTCCTACAATTTGAACAAATGAAACCTGTAACATTGTACACATGAACCATTAAGAATATTTTATTCCGAATTCTCTCACATATTTGGAAAACAAGTTAAACGAATCATTCTACCTGAAATTTCAAACAATAAACTTACATCACCGTGTGGTGTAGATATGGATGCTGGTAACAGTGGATCTCTGGCCATTAAAATTTGCGTGATACGACCATTTCCATTATCCAAAGGTGCATGCCATGAAACATGGTCGCCAGGTAACAACATGTTACCAGAATTGAAAACGTATTTTGCTAATTGTTGCATAACATTTGCCGGCCACGTGGGAGGTGTCATCTCGTTTCTTTCTCTGACTAATCTAAATGTTAGCTCAAATCCAAAACCACTTGGACGACCTGGATCACTTTTTGGATGTATTCGTCCATCCCCGTGCAAATCCGATAAGCCCAAGCTTCAATCAAAAATCATTTTTCACTTCATCAAACAGCATCGTTATTTCAAGAAAAAATGAAAAGACAAATAAAGTAAAATTCGAACAGAACAATGACAATGACAATGGAATTTTCAAGGACTACACTGATAGAACCAAAATAACTCTAGACTCAATCTAAAAAAATACACTAGATTTGGTGAATGGCGGAACATATTTAGATAAGCCAGACAGGAAAAGAGGGAAGACTACGCGGATCTATTTCCGACGCGACGAGCTTCAAACGACTTTATCTTCCTGTACCCTATACTTTCTATATATAGAAAAAGAGGGAACTACTGAAACAGCTGCTGCAGACTAAAGAAGGAAGGATCACCCATTGAAAATAAGAGAAAAAAAAAAGAAAAAAAAATAGATGGTACCCTTTTTGCGGTAGACCATTCGTCATTCGGCGCCCCGTTTTTAATAAAGAATTCGTGAAACTAGCGTTCATTTATCTTTCGACAACGCGAGTCATATATCTGTCTCTGTAAAATTCGACAACATTAACATAAAATTTAAATTTCCAACAAATTACCAAGTGGTACAAAAATGTAAAAGTAAAAAATTTGCATAATCTCAGAAACAAAACTGCAATGACTTCGGAATGTTTATGCTATAGTGTTTAAAGTATCAAAATGAAATGGAAATTCTCGAATGACAGAAATGGGTTGCACATACACGTGTCATCGAGGGTATGTCGAGAAAATACGTGCGCCTATATCAAACAGAGTGCACACTCCTACCACTCAAGAATGTGACACTGACAAATACTCGACTTCCCGTTTTTTTCTTTTTTTTTTTTTTTTTTCTAACACTGATTCTTCCTTCTTTACGAATATTAGGTCAATGAGAAAAAAATATGACTTGTCCTTTTTTGAATGAATGAACGCGTGCACAGCGGAAGGAAATCGTCGATAGATCAATAAAAATTTACATTTCAGCCCATTTGCATCACAAAGTAATATTTATTAATATATGGATCATCATTGGATCATCAGAAGCCAATTGGTGTAAGTGACTTCTTACTAAAAACTGCTTGTAAATATCTTTTTGTTATTAAACCTATCAATTTAAAAAATATTAAAATAATTTATATAGTAAGTTATTTTAATATTTTTAATAACTTTAATTACTGTATTCTGATAATTATGTTGCAATAACCATTCTATAATGACTAACTTGTAGACCAAGGGTATTTTCATGATAAAAAGTGTTAATCAAAAATAACTTACACTGACTAGATTACGAGCTCTCCATATTATGTATTCTGATATTTTATTGTAATTAGATAGTATTAATAGAGAATAATAAATATCAAATCGAGACTTGATAAATTTCAATATACGTAGACGCGTGCAATCTAATGGGTCAAGTACAAATGATAAATATAAAATGAAGATTCTATAAAAAATTATAATAATGTACAATTTATTTTTTATACTTTTAAATATAGTGACATTTTACCATTCGTATCAAATTCATTTGCATTAAACTATACGTTTACCATACTGAAAATATAAATTCTGAACGAGTAGATAAGAATGTTTCGAAATAACACGTAGAATGGTGAAACTCACCTAATATAATGCCAATGTGGTGGTATCCCTAATTCAGGGCAGCCAGAATTTTCGTACATACTTATATAGTCGAGAGGATCTGGACCACCCAACCTAGGCAAAGGTGCACAGAAAATCTTAGTTATTTGGTTTTACATCCGGTTAAATGTACATACAGCTAAGGGAGGCTAAATATAAGTCGTCTTCCCTTCTTGTACAAGAGTTCCATACTCGATAGAAACCACCTTTCTGATACCAGGGTTTTCACGATTGTATATTGATCAAAAAACACAAAATACTAAATAAACTACATTAAATGTGTTTAAAATATTAAAATATTCGTATTATATTTAATAAATGACAATTGTTACGATTAAATTTAAATAAATAAGAAACGTGGAGATTATTTTATAATATTTATCTTTTTTATTATAAATATTAAATATTTATTATCTTTATATTCTTGAATTGTCAATTATTTATCACTGTACGAATTTTATGAGTAAAACATTGCTGTAGTGAAACTGTAGTATTTAAGTAGTGAAACTGTAGTATTTAAGTGAAACTGTAGTATTTAAGTATTAAAAATTAACACAAAAATGGAGCAACAATCTTCAATAAATTACAAGATAAATTATATGATATAATTTATATTATAAATTGTGTTACATTGTATTTTTTATATATCATAACGCAAAGAAGCAAATTAAAATATCTAATATACAAGTGCAAACAAGTGCACACAACACTGCAACGCATTTCTCATCTCATTCTGACATAAACACCGAGCATGAAATTTGAACCTTTCACACTTTACCGCTGAAAAACCATTTTTCATGAACAGACTCTTAGTTAAACGATTCTTACCAGTATTTTACAACAGCGGTGACAGTGAGAGGATTGCTTTGATCCGGATAGATCTCTTTACAAAGATTGTGCAAAGCATCGAGGCCTAGAGCTCGTGCCGTCGGTGCCTGGATCGGTTGTCCCGGTGGGAAACTTCGACAAAATTCCTCTCTTTCACGCATATTTCCGTACATATACGCAGATTCCCAATTGAAGTGTACTGCGAAGTGTACTGCTTCGAAACAAGTTACGGATATGCGATGCAAACAAAATCACTTTGTTTACCGTGGCTCAACCACTGTGTGCACCTTCCACCGAACACGAATCATACGTCTGTTTCTTGACAAAACTAAATTCTTTCAGAGCGGACGACCGAATGATTCCAAAATCACTGCGCGTCTTTAAAAGTCACTATAGGCGACAAGGGAAAGCACGTTGTCATTGGCGGGCGTAATCTGCAGCACGTTTTCATTAGTCGATTCCGATCGGGACGGAACATCCTAGATCCAATAGAATGATTTTCGCACACAATTACATCTCTCGTTTAATGCAACTGACACGGTTGAAAATATATAATTTGTCGGTGTGTCTGGCAAACTTTGAACAACAGAAGTGCATTTAAACATGTCAGACTCGGCAAGATGAGGTTACAATACTCTGTTCTGCTTTTGATTTACCTCTCGTGGCATTTACGAATATGTTCAGGAATTACGTTAATAAACAATACTACAGACATTCAACAAGAGTACAGACCTGAAGGTCCACTGGTAATGTGCAAATTTCTGTGAGTATTTACACGTCCATTCGCCGACAATTGTTTATCTTTAGTGAAATATTGATTGTTGCTTCTTCCTTTCTTTTTTGTTTTAATAAATTATTTATTTATATGGCACGAATATACGTTTCGCAGGCCAAAAGAATTTATAGAGTGTGAAGAGCCAATTGATCACAAAGGTAATAAAACTGCCAAAGAGGAAACTGGATTTGGTTGTGTGAAGGTAACATTGTATTCCTGCATGTAAATATTGCATATGTAACAATGGTTATTTCACTTGGATATTTTCTTTTTAAAGTTTGGAGGCTCCAGATATGAGGATGTTGAAAAAACTAAAGTGTCGTGTACTGTATTACCATATATCGAGTGTTACGGACCCAGGACATTTACTCGTGAAGGAATTCCTTGCATAAAATACAGTGATCATTATTTTGCTACCACTTTATTATATAGCATTCTATTAGGGTTCTTGGGTATGGATCGGTTTTGTTTAGGACAAACTGGCACTGCTGTTGGCAAGTTGTTAACATTAGGAGGAGTGGGAGTATGGTGGATTTTCGACGTAATTCTGCTAGTCACAGGTTCTTTACAACCTGAAGATGGCAGCAATTGGAATCCTTATGTATAATATACCAAGCATAAAAACCAAATTCCAAATATGTAAAATAAGATTCAATGTTTTGTGATATCCTTTTTTAAATAAATATTTAATAATTTCGAATTTACGAGATTACCCAGATACTTTTTGTAAAAATAGGTTTGTATTTACTTGTATATATATCTTAATGTATAAGTAAACATTTCTGTTAGAAAAATTATTTTTTAAATGTTAATGTTCTTTATTTTCGTTTCCTGCTTTTTTTAAAATCAAAAACATTCTTTTGAGAAAAATGAACGATTCGATGATTATTTATAAAAAAATATACAAGAATACACGTTTTGAAATTCATCTATTATAATTCATAATCATCTGGGTGATACAGTTCACTAAGTAATCTATAAATGTATGATGGAGCATTTCCACCCCTAAAATAAAAATATATCGTTACATAATTAATTTAGTAGATTAAACAATATAAAAGATTTAATATTATTGAAAAGTCTTACGTATTTGAAATAAATAATGTAACTAATTCTGGAGGCACATAATCAAAAACTGGATTATATACATGAATTCTTTCCAACAATGATATATTTGCACCATCGATTACACCTTGCAATGGTGAGACATGATTATTAAAACCATCCTGTTCATGGGAATAAAGATACAATGGAGACAACTTGTACAATGGTAATAAGACCATTACTGGGACAGAATAATGTTTCGCAGCTTGAGCAACTGTATGTGAACCTGAAATAGCTCTCAATCCTCCATTTGCCATGACAGAGTGTGTACCAATTATTACTTTATTCACTCGCGACATCATTGCAAAAATTGCCACGTCTGATATTAAAATAGTTTTGATTTTAGCCTTTGATAGATTTACTGCCATTTCATGACCCTAGTAATATTCCAAACATTTTTTTGTTAAATTGATACAAAGTATTTACTACAGTATATACATACAGTTAATGATGGTCCTCCTTCAGCTACTATAACTTCAAAAGGTCTTGTTGCAGCAGCTTTCTTGAAAAACTCTTCTACTAATGTAGATTTGCCAATTGTCATAATAATTTCATTCGCATGGATGTGTTCAGATGCTTGCTGTGTAATATTTTCTGCACTATGAAAAAAGTATACACAATAATATCTTATAAAATAAAGTTTTTTGTACTTTCATTGTTCGTTCAAACTAACCAAGTTTCTAACTCAACTTCAAATTCATTAATATGCTCAATGATAACTGACTTTAGAGAAGGCATGGAAATGTTAAAATCAACTTTCTGATCACCTTCAGCAGTGAGAATTTTATGTAAAGATTCTTGTGTATCCGTTTCTTCAGTGTTATTCTTTAACTCAGAAATATATTCTTCTCTAATTATTTGTAATATTCTACGAACCATATTTCCAATAGAAAATTCAAGGGGAATAGCTTCTACTAAATATTTTCCATTTCTCCTAATTATATCTATCAAATCCCTTTCAAAGTAAAATATACATATATACATATATATATATAAAATTTGCTTTTGATGTTTTTATCTTTTGTAATATTATATATATCTAAGAAGACACACAAATAAAATACTATAATATTTAATTGTTAGCAATTATACAAGTATAATGTGATACAAGCTGAGAGGTTTAGTCAAAGTCAATATTATTTTTAATATTGAATTTAATAAGAATACTGACTAATTAGCAATTAATTGTTAATTATGTTAAAGATTGGCATTCATTTATTTACTGTTTCTTAGATTTATAAAGTTGTATGAAATAAAAAGGAACATAACCCCTACTTGGCGGTGGTCCATTCTTCGTTACTTATGATAGTTTTTAGAACCGATATAGTAGCCACTACGATATTGTGTGTACGCTTAGCACCACTAAAATACAAAATATTATGAAATTTCATTCTATTTGAGGTTAAATCGCTTATATTCATACATATACTCACCCATAATGAATATCATTTATTAAGTCTAACACCCCTTGGTTAATATCGTTGTCTTTCGTATTAACCATTTTGACCATAAGCTATTAGAGATTTTCTCTCTCTTAGATGTCTCTTTTTAGAAGAATAATATAAAATTTCGAAACATTTCTTCTGTCAATATCTAACTTGCACGACAACAAAATACCAGCTGTTGAACTAAGCAATGATCGGTCCTAGCATTAACTAACTAGAATAGACTGGACAAAGTATATGAATAGAGCAAGCATCTTACGAGATTTCGTGGCCCGTGACCTAAATTTGAGGTTAGCAACTACAACGCCACTCTACGGTCAAATACGTAATAACATTGACCAATCAGTATATTCACTTGTTTTTAGCGCACTCTATATTTGATGGTAATTGGAGAATTACAAATGAAACGATCAAAGTTGATCAAGTAAATGCACTGGAGAGATGATCGTTGATGGAAGAATTAAGTGATCTTTGTGATTTTAATTCCTATTACCATTAGCGCTGTGGTGCAAAACCTACCTAAATCGATATGGTAGGATGTGACATAAAAATGGTAAGGTGAACATAAAAATGCATTGATTGTCATATGTATTCTATATCTTGTCAATGGTAAGAATTTGACAATTTGACCTACTAGTTAATGATTTGATATTATGTGATTAATTATTGAGTAATTATAGCAGAGAAGGATAGAATGCATCCGACGAATTAAGGTGAGCTCATACGCGATATTATTGATTTATGTGG